TTGTGGCCAGGCCCGAGGGACCAGCATCGTTGTTGAGTCGTCTTCGAACCGTGCGGGTGGGCCGGCAGAAGAGGAGATCCGACGGCGAGTTTGGACTGAGCTGTCGCTTATTGTTTTCTTCGCTGACAGTGCTGTTTTGCGCCCCGGCGGAGCCCGTCGGGGATGACGCGCCAACGATGTTGGCAAGAACCGCCGAGAAAGGTGTTGCTGCTCCGTCAGTTTGACTGATGCCCGGGTATTTTCTGACTAGGTCAGCAGCCATCTTGTGTAGCTGCTTGGAGAAGGGCGCATGCGGTGTAATTTCGAGTTGTAGCTCTTTTCCGATCTTGAGCATCTTGGTATCTTCATCACCGAGGTTGCCAATAGTGGTGTCCAGGATGTAGTCGGGTGTGCAGGTAGGCATAAGTTTCTTAGCTTGCGCTAGAAAGAAGACGACGTTGCTGTTGTGGGCGGGCAGTCTGGTCTCAGGGGCCAGCGCTTCTGTTTGTATGCAGATTTCTGCCGGGAGGGGGGGGTTGAGAGGATTCACCCACTGGCAGTTCCCGGTCAGGTGGTGCGTAATGACAGGTTTTTGGTTTTTCCGGTCGCATGTGGCAATTCGTTTGCACCATGCGCAGCGGAAGTGGAGCTGGGAGCCACAGTTGTGGGGGCCCTGCTCCCAGAGTTTGTCCATAGGCCAGACCCGAAGGGGTTGGGGGCCTTTGGGGGGTGACTTGCCTGCTTTGTGCGAATGAAATTCATGGGCAGCGCCAAGGTCAGCTGGGGCGTAGACGTAGACAGTTTCGCAGGAGGAACAAGCAACCTTGTTCGTGCTGTTGAAGACAGTCAGGTATAGGTCTGCCGCGGCCAGGGCAAACAGGTACCTGTCTTGTTCCATTTTGTACCATGCTTCGGATAGTTCATGGCTATGTTTGAAGATGTACTCACTGCACCTTCCGTTTTTGTGGCAGTCGTTGTCCGTTTGGAAGTTTGCTGGATCGACAAAATCTATTGTCTTGCACCTGCTGCAGATCACTGTGCTGAGCGTTTCGTCGGCGTGTAGTTTCCACGGTAGAGCCTTGTCGGCGTGGAGTCGGGCTTTCAGCTCCTCAGCGGTCCGCACGCTGCGGTGACCAGGATTGGAGTTGCTTTGGAGGGCCGCCATCCTGTCGCGGATGGTAAGGACCAGATTTGGATCCGTGTCCGGATCCGGGACGGTCGGGTACATGCTACACAGTCACTGTATCACTGACACTTTCACTATCACTGTCACTGTCACTGTCACTGTCAGTTGCGCGAGGGGGGGGGGGTGCCCCCCAGGCCGGAGGTGGGACGGTAGGCACTGTCCCCGGGCCTGTAAGGCGATTTGTCCCGTCGGGTGGGGCTAGGCTAGCTAGCCATAGGTACGCGAGTGCTGATGCAGCGAAAACTCGGGTAGCGCGCGGAGCGGCGCGGCGCACGTCTGCACGCGACGACGTTCTAACTGCAACTGCAACTGCCCTTAGTCTCTTTTTACGTGGCACCCTGCGCCTGCACTACGGCGCTCACAACGTTTCCGAGCGGCACCCTGGCCGGTAGGCAGTCCGCTGACGCCGGTGCGTTGTGCAGGATAAGTTGCCTATCATCGCAGGCGCCCCGCACCATGGCTCTTGCTGAGGCCCCTGAGCGGTAGGCAGTCCGCTGACGCCGGTGTGTGTTGAGGGAGGTGTTGCCTACC